TGGGCGCCTCGGAGCTAGCATCCCACAGCAGCCGATACTCATCTGCAGTAGTCTCGACAACAGCGTGTGGATGTGCAGACGGCAGCCCGTCAGCGGTGACCACCGTCGTCTCGTTGACCTGATGATACTGCGTAATCTTGTGCAAAGCTCGTGCGCCTCCTGCTGCAGCTTGATCGCACCAATTTTGCCAACGTTTTTGAGATTCTCTTCCAGCTGCCTGCTTCGCAATCTCAACGTCCTCGTCAATCTCCTCAAGGAATTCAGCAATCTGCTCTGGAAAGAATCGACCTGCTACCAATCGTCTCGCCTGTGTCACACCTGCATCCAATCCCGAACATAAATGAACCCCAGGATACGGTGACGTTTGAAACAGCATCAGCTCGTCGTCAAGCATCGCAGCTTTCTCCTCATCGCCATTGCTGGATGCCTGCTTCAACAAACTGAGACCTTGCAAAGCATCCGAAAGCCACTTCCATCCATCCGCTTGTGCAGCAAGGCCTTCCGCATCCCTGCCATTGTAAGTCACATCGACCCACTTCGGCTTGATGCAGCGCGCATACGAGCCAGGACACTTGACTTCCTCACCCGTCATGATACCAATTCTCTCAGCAGCTCTGGTGATGATACTTCCCCAAGCCAAGGTTAGAAAACCCCATGCAGCATCCGAAGGTGACTCCTTGGCCATCTCAACCGCTGTGGAAGCATACCTACGCTCCAATGACCAATCAAAGTCCTGCTGGGCGGGCCCAAACACAGCGGTTGTGGGAAGCTTTGGGACTGCAGCATACGTCAATATCTGAAGTCGATGGACATCAGCAGCCAGCTCGATTTGCACAGGGCGGTGTGGCTTGGTTTCCCACGTAGCATCAACCTTTATCTGCTTAAGTAATCGATGTGCACCCACACTGAGACAAAAGAAATCAATCGTACTCGTTGATGATGCCGTCCTGCACGTGACCGATGCTGGAGCGACAATTTGCACTTGGGCAGCCCTGGCGAACCCTGAAGACTCAAGTGCCGCCTTGTCGAGATTCCAGTCACCGCCGATGATGCTAGGCGAGGTGAGCCCAGCGAGGGACTGCCCAATGCAAGAAAGAATCCTTGAGTTGCGCACAGTAAAACCCTCAGAACAATGAAGGTACAAATTGAAAATATGCATCTCTGGCCAACCTGGTACATCAACCACCACGTGTAGCGCCCTGTGGGCGACCAGAACTCCAGAGACAGTCTGGCCATCAACTCGAGGACGTCGAAGACCAACTTCAGCACGTGCGAAAACAGCCACTCCCGCAGAGGGAAGGTGGCCCTTGGTCTCATGTCCTGGTTCAATGATAACGCTCCAGCCTCGTCTGGCAGCCCAAGAGGAAATCTCCTCCGCATTGTGTGAAAAATAACCCAGCTCCTGTGCCAACACGATTATGGCTGAGGTGCGTTGCAATCTGCGTTTCAAAGTCTCTCGACCTTGATTGGCATTGAACGTTTCAACTAACCGAACCTGCTGCTGGCCAGTACGTGGTATGGGAGCAGCACGCGTCTTACCTTGAACAACAGATAATCCACTCACCAATGGACGGTTGCTAAAGGTCCTCTTGATCATCACCAACTTTGCGAACTTTCGTCTTCTGGAGTGCGTTGACCATCTCTGCAAGCTTAGCGGGTCGTGTCTCTTCGCTTTCCTGCTGCAACTTGGTCCACACCTCTCCAGCTTCTGACTCGGACAAATCAATCTCGGGTGGTGGTCGCTTCTCGCCAGCACCTCCACCTGCAGGCCGCTCAGCAGCAGGAGGAGCCACAGGCCCAGCATGAGTCCTGCCCTCCATGGGGTCGTCGACCGTCCCTGCGGGGGCAACACTCTCGAAAATGATCTGCTGGAACTTCTCGAACTTCGGGTGCACGCTGAGGTCCTTGAACAACTTCTCAAGCTCGGCGTCCTCAGCGCGGATGAGGTTGGAGCCCAGCTGTTTGATGAAATCCTCGGGGACTCCTGCAGCTTCAGCTCCTCTGGGGCTACGCTGCTTGCGCAACTTAGCCGCCGACATTTCAACTTCCACTTCGAGTAAATCAACTTCCTTCGACTTAGCCTCGAGTGCAGCTTTTTTGCCATCCAACTCATTCTGAAGTGATGACAACCTTGCCGAAAGTTCCGATATCTCATACTCCATCTTCGTCTTCTGGGACTTGCATCGTTCGAGCTTCTGGAATGCAGCCTTGTGTGCCGACACTGGGGGGCGCATGGCTCTGTGCTCTTCACGAAGCTGGTCCAATCTTTTCTTTGCCGCTGGCAAGTCAGGATCGTCCTCGTCCAGCTCCTTCGTCTGCTTGATGAACTGGTCGAGTACATCAATGCGCTTCTGAAGCGCAGCTCTCTTAGCATAGTCCGTCTCGTTACCGTCGGGGTCCTTGGCCATCGTGTCACCTCCGTCGCCCTTGGCCGCGACTCCCTTCTCAGCCTTGACTCTCTTGAGCTCAGCTGAAAGAAACTCCATCTGCTTCTGCATCTGCTTATACTGATCACTCCACGGTGCTGGAGACTGCGATGCACGTCGAGGCGCCGACGCAGGCTGCTGCGTCGCCTCTCTCGCAGCCTTCCTTGCCCGTTGGATGAATACCGTCGGTGCATCCTGTCCGCATCTGCATTTGATGCGGCTCGCCCAATTCGCCGATGCTCCGCAGGCTGGGCACCCCCATGTGGGCTTGCGGGGGCCTGGTAGTACCGGCCCCGCCATGAGCGCCATCGGGGAGATCCTCTCGACCTCGCCCACACGACACTCGTGTTCTCCGTCTCAACAAAAGGGGGTTGCTCCTGCAGGAGCTCACTGCCACAATGGCTCGCTGCGGCGGTGCCGTTCTGAAGTCTGCCGCAGCAAGCTCAGGACACCTGAGCCAGAACGGCTTGAGCCAAAATGGCTACGGAGGAGGAGGAGGAGGAGGAGGAAGAAGGAGGCGGAGGAGGAGGAGGAGGAAGGAGGAGGAGGAGGAGGAGGAGAAGGAGGAAGGAGGAGGAGGAGGAGGAGGAGGAGGAGGGAGGAGGAGGAGGACGGGTCGCCTGAGCCCTTCGGAGAAACCCTCCAGCCGGAGGAAGCATGGCATCGGTGGCAGCACGGCGGCTCCCGTCGCGATGCCATGGCGCCGGTTTCTCTGACACCGCGCGGACGACTCTTGACCCTGAGCAGGCGCGGGTTTCTGGTGGCACAGGACGCTCGGTGTCGGCCGACGCTGGGCCGCTGCCGGCGTTCCACCCTCGGACGCCCGCGTCACTCAACACAGCGCGACATGGCCGTGCAGTGGGGGCCCGACGACAAGGAACCTTCCACGAGAAGCCCGACCCTGAGACCCCAGGAAGCCCGTCGATTTGTGGTGTGGGAACGTCGCGCTCTCCACGGGAAAGCCATCGAAACCCAAGAAACCCCGGGCACCCTGGAGGCAAGCAGGGAAGTTGTTGGCATCGGCCTTCACTGTACGGCCGGGACCGACTGCACAGAACACCAGAGAGGACAAAAGCCTCATCCGAGAGAAGAACCCACGCTCAAGACGTGAAGAGGACAGGAAGCGCGATAGATAGGACACACTCAGATTCGAAATTCTGAGGCGCGACGAGAGATGCAATCAGCGGAACAAGCTCTACAAAACGAGTCAAATTTGAAGAAAATTGGCAACCCCGCGTGGCAGCGTACACTAGCCAGACTGGAACTCCCGTTGGGAAGCTGGATCGGGCGACCGCTGAGCACTAAGCTCCTCCTCTTCCTCCTCTGCCTCCTCTTCCGCCTCCTCATCCTCACTCCCCTCCTTCTTCGCCTCCCTCCTCCCTCCCTCATTCCCCCTCTCCTCCCTGGATCCCGTTCCTCTCCTCCCTCCCTGCCTCTCCTTGCACTCCTCCCTCCTCCCCGCGCGCGGGCTCCCGCGCACGCACGCACGCACGCACGCAGGATGAGCGAAGAGGAAGGAGGAAACGGACGACGCCGACGACACCTATGACGACTACGAAGCACGTCCCCGACGACGACGACGACAAGGAAGAGGACGAGGACGACGACGACAACGACGACGACGACCAGGAAGAGGACGAGGACGACGACGACAACGACGACGACGACGACGACGACGACGACGACGACGGCGGTGGCGGCGGCGGGGGCGGCGGCAGCGGCGGCGACGGCGACGGCGACGACGACGGCGACGACGGCGACGGCGACGGCGACGGCGACGGCGACGACGACGGCGGCGGGGGCGGCGACGACGAACCTCAGGGGCTTCCAAAGTCTCCGAAGCCTCCGATGACCTCCTGAAACAATTGGAAAAGGTCGGAGGCCGTCTTCGACGACGGGTCCGTCTGCCGCTCCGACGACGACAGCGGCGACGATGACCACGACGCCGACGCCGAGGACGCCCTCGACGACGATGACGGCGGCGACCACTAACGACCACAACGACGACCAAAACGACGACCACGACGACGAAGATCACTTGGAAAATCAAAAGGTACTGATAATTACCCATACTCCCCGGAACTCTCCTGGGGTGCGCTTGGACCAGGACCCCGAAGAGAATCCAGCCGTGGCGATGGGAGCCTCCCAGGATGCCCACAAAGGCAACAACGAGGCAAGGGTAGCGGCATCTCGGTACCAACCCCTCCGACCACGACGAGGAGGAGGAGGCGGAGGCGGACGAGGAGGAAGAGGAGCAGGAGGAGGAGGAGCAGGAGGAGGAGGAGGGGAGGAGGAGCACGGGGGAGGTGGAAGCGGGCGGAGGAGGAGGCAGGGAGGGAGGACGGGAGGAGGGGGGAGGGGGGGGGAGGGAGGGAGGAGGACGGGAGGGCGGGAGGGAGGAGGGAGGGAGGGAGGGAGGGAGGGAGGGAGGAGGAGGAGGAGGAGGAGGAGGAGGAGGAGGAGGAGGAGGAGGAGGAAGAGGATGAGGAGGAGGAGGAGGAGGAGGAGGAGGACCACGACGACCACGACGACGACCACCACGACGGCGACGACCACGCCGCTGGCGGGCGCATCCGTCTGCCGTTTCGGGGGCGGCGGCAGCTGCCCTGGCAGCGCGCCGGCGCCCGCCGCCGCGCCGAAGGCCACGGGCTCCGCCGGCGCGGGCGGCGGGCCGCCACCTCGCGCTGGTCGGCGCCGCCGCCGCCGCGGGCGTTGAGATGAAGCCAGGACGAGGACAAACTCGGGCGCAAATATTGGGGAACGAACAATGGCATCAACATAAAGACTCCGAGGTCCGCGCGGGTGTCTCGGATCGGCGCTGGAGCCCCCCGGCGACGCCTCTGGCGCCGCCTCTGGCGCGCTCCGCGCGCCAGGGAGGGGAGATCCAGCGCGGATCCGAGAAATCCGCGCGGACCTTCTGAATTTTCATGTTATTGAGACAAAATCAGAACGAGAACCAATTCGGGCGAGCATAAATCGAGAGTCTCTGAGAATCGGCGGGTGTGAAAAATATGTCTCGGGCGCCTCGGCCTTCTCGGAGCGTTCTCCGTAACGCTCTGAGGGCGTTCCGGAACGCTCTACTCGTCCGACTCGTGCTGGTCGGCGCCGCTGCCGTCGCGGGCGTCGTCAGGGTGGTCGTCGTCGGCGGCGTGGAGTTCCGATGGCTTGCGTTGGCGTCGTGGTCGTGGTCGTCGTCGTGGTCGTCGTCCTCGGCGTGGATGTCCAATGGTGTGTGGAGGTCTTCGCCGGTCGTCGGTGGCTCCCAGAGGCTAGAGGCTCTCCGAAATGGTCGTCGGCGCTGTGGTCGTCGTGGTCGTCGTCGTCGTCGTCGTCAAGGTCGTTGTCGTCGTCGTCGTAGTCGGAGTCGGCGTCGGCGACGGCGTCGGCGTCGTCGTCGTCGTGTTGGTTGTCGCCGGCGTCGTCGTCAGCGTCGGCGCCTTCGTCTTCACCCTGGTCTACGTCGCCGTCGTCGTGGTCGGCGACGTCGTCTTCGCCTTCATTTGTATCATCGTCGTCGGTCGGTCGGTTCGTCAGGTCGATCGCCGTGGCTGGTTTGGTTCATGCGCGAAGGGGGCCAAGCATCCGAGGCAACATCCCATCCTGGCGGGTAGTGTGCCGCGCAAACGAATACAACAGTACATCACAGCCTTGAGCCAGCTGTTGTCCCGCATCTCTTACAGTGGAGGCCACTCCACAAGAAACCTTCCACAAGAAAGTCATCTCTGAGACTCCAGGGCGTCTATTGTGGGAGCGTGAAGTTTTCAATAACACAACCATCGAAACCCAGAAAACCAGGGCACCCTGGAGACAAGCAGGGTGTTTCTTGGCATGGGCCTCCACTGTAGCCTCAGTCTATTGATGGGCCTGTTTTCCACCACCACCACAAGTTGGATGGGGGGAAGGAGGAGGAGGACGAGGAGGAGGGCGAGGAGGAGGAGGAGGAGGACCCCCTCCCCCTCCAACTTTTGGTGGTGGTGGTGGAAAACAGGCCCATCATCTATGTCATCCTCGTGGCAAATCGAGCAATCGGTCGGTCGGTCGCCGCCGCCGCCCTCGCCGAAAAGGGAGGGAGCGGAAGGAACATTGGGAAGGATCGAGGAGCGAGGGACGCAGGCTCTTCGCGATGCTGGGAGTCGGGGGGGAACTCTCCAGGCCGCGGGGAGGGACGTCGGAAGGCGACGAGGGCAGGAGGAGCTGGCAGCGGGGAAAGAGAGACTCGAAGGATTGGGTCGTCGGCCTCGGGTGGTCAAGGGAGGAGGAGGAAGAGAAGGAGGACTCGCCATCGCTCGAACGGCCATTCCCCGTGCATGTTTCCATTGCGTCCGTGCAATTGTTCGCGAGATGATCACAAATTCTCCTCGATGATCCCCACCGAGGAAAAAGGACACCCGTCCGAGCGATGCCAAGAGGAGGGGTGGGAGGGAACGAAGAGGGTGGACAAGATTCGAGCGCTCGCGCCATTTCTGACATCATCCCCCTTCCCATCCCTTCCCATGGAGTTGGGTCCCCTCTGTTCGTGGTGCCATGCAGAGTCGAATGCGAGAGCAGGCATAACTCACGACGTGACAAAGGCGAAAGCGGAGCACCACGTTGGCTGATGCAATAATGCAGTTAGCACGTCGGCGAGAACGTCGATCCGAGGAACGGAGGAACGTACAAACGTTACGACGCATGAGCACGACAAGCGTTGCTGCGAAACGGTCGTTCCATTAGACGCAAACCCGATGGGATGCCTGTCTGAAACGTGGCAAACGCTTCAGCGGGAACACCAATTTTGCGGATGCAGAAATACGGCACTGGACGGAGGTTCGCTAGAAATCATTCGCTGAAGACAACGCCGCATACATACCACAACCTGTGAGGGGTCACACGTGCTCTTCTTGGGAAGTAATTGCATGTGGGCATTCCTGTTTTTTTCAACCAAACAAAACACATGATGCGGGTGTATGCGGGATAGGCAGGGAAATCGGCCGACCCTGTCGGCGTGTGGAAGAGGCTATTCCGTTTGACTCGTCTTCGTCGACGTCGCCGTCGTCGTCGTCGCCGTTTCCGTCGCCGCTCCATCTCCTTCCCTGGGCCCGTCGCCGCCCTCCCCGTTTCCTAGGCTCTCCTCGTCAAGCGCGCCAGCCAAACCGACGTTGAGCAACTTCGCACATTGCGTCGAAGGGAAGCCACTTCCCTGTAATCCCTTCCCTTGGGCGCCCGAGTTATCCGGGGTAACTCGGGCCCGGGGTAACTCGGGTTTGGATTTCCGAAAAACGAACCCGAGTTAGCCCTGACCCGAATTATCCCTGATGATTTGGGGCTCTGGACGCCCGAGTTATCCGGGGTAACTCGGGCCCGGGGCAACTCGGGTTCGGATTCCCCAAAAACGAACCCGAGTTAGCCCTGACTCGAGTTACCCCTGATGATTCATGGCTCTGATTCCCCGCCAGGGAAGGGGAGGGGGTCCAGGTGGGGTCCCCGGGGCGCCCCAGGTCAGAGTACCACCTCCCCCCCCTGGGGGTGGGCCTGGGGCCCCAAAAAGAGCCCCAGGGAGGGCCAAGAGTGCCCCAAGAGGCCCCCCGAGGCAGTCCAAGAGGACCCCGAATCGCCAAACGATCCGTCCGAGACGTCGTCGACGGCCTCCAGACGGCCCAATAGGGCTGGAAGACACCCCAAGAGGCCTCGAAGATCACTCCCAAAAGAGACCCAAGAAACAAAATTCTGTGATTCCAGTTTATCAAGTATGTGGTCCTTCTCACCTTTTCAGCTCCATAAAATTGCCAAAGAGGCTCCAACGGTCGCCCCAAGAGGCCTCCAAGAGGGTCCCGAAAAGAGACAGAGAGGGCCCGAAGACGGCCCAAGACGCCTGCAAGACGGCCCAAGATGCCCCCAAGAGGGCTTCAAGAGGGTGCCCAGACAGGGGAACCAAACAGACATTCGAGCCATCGTTCCCGAGAGCCTCCCAGGAGTCCCCAAGAGGACCCCAAGAGGCCCCCAAGAGACTCCAAGAGGCCCCCAAGAAGCCCCCAGGAAGCCCCAAGAGGTTACCAAGAGGCTCCCAAGAGGCCTTGAAGATGCTCCCCAGGGGCCCCAAAAATTGCCCCCTAGAAGCCTCCGAGAGCGCTCCGAAGAGACCCCAAACAGAATCCCTGAGGACTCTGACGCACGTCAGCGTCGTCGTCGTCTTCGCCGTCGTCTTCGTCGTCGTCCCCCTTCAGGATCGGCAGCACTGGCCGCAAGGCCTTCGCAATAAAGACAGAAGGTGGGAAGAAGGGATAAATGCATTGCCAAAGCAGTGCTTGCACTTAGGCGCCCTTACTTGCGTTTCCCGAGGAATTGCATGGGACAATCGAAGTTTCTCCAGGTGCCCAACCGTGGGCGCCTGGTTGGCGCTTCGTGCACTGGGTGGGTCCGCCGAGACTTCTCCTGGTGCCCGCCCGTGGGCGCCTCGTACGCTGGATGGGTCAGCCGATGAGCATCGCTTAATCAATCCCCAGCACCACCAGCGTGGGCTGGGTTCCCACTGGCCGACTTGCCCCCCTGGATGGGGATGTGGGCTGCTGTCTTCGGGCTTCGACTGGCACATCCCCAACTGAGATGGTGAGACGGTGGGGCTCGAGATGTGGATGGGGATGGGGTCAGGCATGAGGAGGAGGAGGAGGAGGAGGAGGAGGAGAGGAGGAGGAGGAGGAAGGAGGAGGATGGGAGGGTAGGAGGAGGAGGAGGAGGAGGAGGATGAGGAGGAGAGGAGGAGGAGGAGGAGGAGGAGGAGGTGGAGGAGGGAGGAGGAGAGGAGAGGAGAGGGGAGGAGGAGGAGGAGGAGGAGGGGAGGAGGAGGGGAGATGGGGAGGAGAGGAGGAGGAGAGGAGGAGAGGAGGGAGGAGGAGGAGGAGGGAGAGGAAGGGGAGGAGGAGGAGCAGGAGGAGGAGGAGGAGGAGGAGGAGGAGGAGGAGGAGGAGGAGGAGGAGGTGGGGGGAGGGGGGAGGGCTTCTTGGAAGGAGGCTGCTTCTTGGAAGGCGCCGAGGCAGGGCTGCTTCTAAGGAGCCCTCCCCCCTCCCCTGCGCCCCCCTCCGCGCGTGGCTGCACGTGGGCGCCTCGTTGGCGCCTCGTGCGTTGGGCGAACGCGTAGGTCGGGCACAAACTGCTACAGGCCGATGTTGGACGGAGAATAAAAAAATACAACAAACTATCCACAATAGACCAAACACTAACATAAACAATTTCAAGACATAGGTGTGTATATACATATATATGTATATAAGATTCATAAACTAGTTTGAAACAAAAAACCATGTTTGAATATTCCTCCTGTAGAGGGACGACCCCCGACTTAAGCGGACGCACAGCTTGCACCACGTCTGCCAGCACTGCCTTGGGCCCGCCGGGGCATGTCGGAGGCCGGGCCGCAACGGGAACGGGAAGGAGCGGTGCAGGGCCCTGCCCGAGAGAGGGCACGTGGCACCGTTCGCTCCTGGGAGCATGGGCGCGAAGACCTGTTTCACAGGCCCCAAGGACACACAAATAGATTCACACAAGTAACAGGATTCCCTACAGTTCCCCACATGTTCTGGGCGTTTGTCTGCCCATATGTTCTAAGGAATCGACGATTCATTGTCTGTGTGTTATTTTCCCCTCCTGACTGTTGCACGTCACAGTTCGCTCTCAGGAGCCTTGGAATGAGGAGCTGTTTCCCGTCATCGTTCTCTCTTGGGGGACTTGGCAGTCCAAGGTTTTTACGCCACCGACTGGCCTGAACGTGTCATTTCGGCACTTGGAGCTCTTAGGAGACGTGGCGTCAAGGCTCTGTCCGTCACTGGGCCGCTGCGGGCAATTTTCAAGAACTCCAATCATCACAAGCGGTTGTGGATACGCTTTTGATGGACTCCTCCCACCAACACATTTTCCGGAAATTGATGAGTTGGGCCTCTCGGGGCCTTCTGCGGGGTCCTTTGGGGCCCTCTTAGACCGTCTTGATACCCTCGTGGGCCGTCCTGGGGCCCTTTTGGGCCGTCTCGCAGGGCTTCGGCCATCTTAAAGCATCCTTAGGCCCTGTTGGAGCACTTTCGGTGCTCTCTACAGCTCTCCTGGGAGACTCTTGGGGCCCTCCTGGGCAGTCTTGGGGTCCTCTTGGGCCGTCTTGGAACCCTCTTTGGGGCCTCTTGGGACGTCTCGGGGCGATCGGAAGCCCGAAAAGGCGAGAACCCACAGAACAGTCAAACACCTAGGCGAGACAGGTGTTTGGCCCCCTAAGGCCCTCTCGAGGGTCCTCTTGAGGGCCTCTTGGGCCGTCTTGGGGCCCGCTTGGGCGGTCGCCAAGCCACCTCAGGCCAGTTTGGAATGCTCTTGGCCAGCGTGGGCTCTCTGGGAGCGCTCTTGGGTCGCCTTGGAGCCCTCTTGGACCTCTCTTGGGCCGTGTCGGGGATATCGTAGGCCGTCTTCGATGTTGCGCCCGCTGGGCGCGCTTCCCACCTCCCCTGGATTCCCTCCCTAAAGAGCTTCGCCCGATCAGAACGTCAACGCTCGTACCTCGCTCTTTCCGCCATGCTCCTGTGCTGCCTGGCAAGGCTTCTTTAGTGTCTCCTAACACCGCCCCCCCCCCTGCAGTGCGGGCGCGAGATCAGAGAATGGTCCCCTCTGGACTTGCTCCCAAGCGCTGGTTTGCTGCGTGCAAGCGGCGCCAAGACATCGCAGAGGATTCTAGATGGTCTCAAGACGCCTTCGCGAGCAGGCCGAAGATGGCTCGAAGACAGCCCCAGATCACCCCAATAATGCCAAAGAGGCCCCTGGCACAGCCCGAGAGGCCCTCCAGGCGTGCCCTCAGAAGCCAAAATCACTAATTCCCCATAGGTGCTTTTCAATGTTTATCGCGCTCTCGCACGTCCGGGCTTCCGACAGCCCGGGATTGTCCCAGAGGCCTCCAAGACGGGCGCAATAGGCACCAAAGGAGGCCCAAGAGGCTCTCCAGAAGGCCCCAAGAGGGCACCAATGCGGACCAAGAGGCCTCCAAGCCAGCTCGAAACCGCCTCAAGAAGACACCAATGTTTTCATCACACAGATTACACCACAGATCTCACAAAAAAAGCCTGCACCACAAAGCCGCCACAGCGCAATAGCTTACTATTTAGGGCCTCCGCCAGCAAACATAGTTAGTCAATGTGGAGGAAGGAGAAGTATGGAGGCGACTGGTCCTCCGTCTCCGCACCCCAGAAGTCCGTCTCGCCCTCGCCGTCCTCCCTTGTTGTCCCCCTCCATATCCTCCTCCTCCTCCTGAGAAACCTCCAGCTACAACAACCCTTCCTTGAGAATAATTCCTCCTCGTCCGACCACCGAATGTGTCGGTTGGGCGATCCGGGTGTTTCGCCTGAGACTTCCTGACGACGTGTCACCCTGTCAGATAACCAGATGATGGGCGAATCATTGTCAGCAAGATGTTATCGGCTGAACGCGGCGCACAGTCGTATTTCAAGCAAACGCTCGTCTTGCAAGTCCCCAGCAGATGCACAGATGGAGGGCGGGTGATTGTCACCATATACTTTACGCATTAGCGACATTCATATGTATCTTGTATCTTGCTACGCGCCACAGTGGCGGTAGGCACTGAGTGGAGCGCCCTCAGATCCCACCGAGCACTCCATGTTGATTACCAGAACTTCTCAGTTAGTGGCCAGTGGGACAGAGCGGTCCGCGTCACTTCGCGTCACTTGTCCTTAAATCAGAGAACTCCAAGTCAGCTCGCCTCCTCCCAACTCCGCCAGCTTGCACCCCCCTCCTCCCTACCTCCCTCCCTCCTCTCTGGCCGCAGGCCAATCAATGATCAATTATTCATTATCCTCATCTTCCTCCTCCTCCTTCTCCTCATACATCTCCTCCTCCTCCTCCTCCTGCTCCTCCTCCTCCTGCTCCTCCTCCTCCTGCTCCTCCTCCTCTTCTTCCTGCTCCTCCTCCTCCTCCTCCTCCTCCACCTCCTCCTCCTCCTCCTCCTCCACCTCCTCCTCCTCCTCCTCCCTCCTCCTCCTGCTCCCTCCTGCTCCTCCTCCTCCTCCTCCTCCTCCTCCTCCTCCTCCTCCTCCTCCTCCTCCCTCTTCTGTCCCTCCCCTCCCCTGCCCCCCCTCCCTCGCCTTCCCCTCCCCCCCCTGCTCGCCCCTCCGCGAACCAGCCCCCCCGAGGACGGCGAGGAGTCGCCGTGCGCCGCGGGAGCGCGCGCGGAGGCGGCAGCCGCCGGGGCGGCCTGGGCCTCCGAGCCCGAAGGCGAAGTCGGGCGCGGCCCCGGGGGCCCCCATTCCTGCGGGAGGGGGCAGAGGAGGGGAGCTGGGCATCTGTCTGTCTGTCTGTCTCTCGCTCTCTCGCTCTCTCGCTCTCTCTCTCTCTCTCTCTCTCTCTTTCGCACCAGGGGCGCGAATCAAATGGCAGAAACGTGTGTATATATATAAATATATATACTCGGAGGTCCGCGCGGCTTTCTCGAATCCGCGCTGGACCCCCCTCCCTGGCTCGCGGAGCGCGCCAGGGGCGGCGCCAGAGGCGCCGCCAGGGGGCCCCAGCGCCGATCCGAGAACTCCGCGCGGACCTCCGAGTTGTTATGCTTGTGTCATTGTTCGTTCCACCTAGTCACATCGCACTCCCTTTCGACGAGCGCGTTCCACTACTCGCAAGGTAACTGCTCGTAGATGGCCTGGAGCCGCCGCGGGAGATGTACGATGCATGACATAGAGAGGAAGACATAATTTTTCGGACGTTTGCGAGTAGGCACTTTGCGGGTAGTGGAACGTGCCCGGTGACTCCTGGTGCCAGCTATACTGAAGGGGCCCCAGGACACACAAATAAATGCACACAAATAAAAATGTTCCCTATATTTTCCCATATTTTCTGGGTCTTTGCCTTCCCCCCCACTTCCCATATTTTCCCGTATTTTCTTCGGAGCCGACGATTAATTGTGTCTGTGTGTTTCTTTCCCTCCCGATATACCCCCACCTCGATGCTGGCCGGTGCCATCGTGGGCCCAGGGTCTGCGCACGCGCTGGCCTGGCCAGGCAGGCGCTGGTGGCCTGGCCCGGCCCCCATCGGGGTCGATCTACGCACCGTCGAGATCTACGTGCCTCCCCGAGATCTTAGAGGAAGAAAAAACGCCACACACATCCACTTTTTGAGCTCCGCGCGGATTTCTTGGAGCTGCGCTGGACCCCCCCCCCTGGCGCGCGGAGTGCGCCGGTGGACCCATGCGCCGATCCGAGAAACCCGCGCGGAGCACCACAAGTTTATGTTTACGGCGTTTAATTGTCTGCGAGATCTGCGCCGAGCGGGACCTTTGCCCGGGCACAGGCCCCTAGAGTACTCCAGCAATTCCCTTCGGCTCCTCTCTGTGTGCCTCCGTAACTCTGGAGGGCACAAAGTCCCGAAGCCTGCCCCCAGAGGTCCAAGTGGAGGAAAAAAGGCCCATCGCCGCTGTTCGCAGCGCTCGAACGAACGAATGGGCCTTGCTTGGGGACTGGCTGACTTGGGTCAGCGAATAGTCCAGGTCGGCCAAGGCAATGTCAGGAACCCAGGCTTGCCCCCCGTCAATTGATCACGGCCATGGCGCCGCGTCCGAAAAGCGCCCAAGCCAGCAGCGAAGCCGACGCGGACCGACACAGCACACCCTGGTGAAGCGACGCTGCAGCGAAGCGGCGGCCGACCGAGCCGCCGACCGAGCGCACCCGACTGCAACGTCCGAATCAACCCAGCCGCGGCCACCCACTGCCTCCCCATGAGAGGGGGAAGGTTCGAGGGGGGCCAGCTCCGGGGAGGAGGAGCCATCATCCTGGAATCGGCGGTACATCGCCGTTACAGCCAACCCGCATCATGAGGATGCGCAGCGAGGATGCAAGGGCCTGGGAGGCCCACGCGAACGCTCTTCGAACGAGGCCGGCCGGCGAAAGTCGCCGAGGATGGGCCGAATGGGGGCAAGGATATGCAAGGGTACCCCTTGGGCAGGTTGCCCATCCTTCCTGTGCGGGTTGACCCTGTCGGCGATCCATGGGCGATCGGGGGCCGACGCATCCCTCCCCTCTTGAACGCCCGACATGGGCACGGGAAAAATGGGTACAATTCCCAACATCAAATGTTGTCCCAAACCAACAGCGGCCGCTCTTGGGCAGGCGGCCTTCTGTCTCAAGTGGACACAGGCCGCGGCGGCGCGGGCAGCGAATCCTGCTCAAAACGAACAGGAACTGCTGTTGGGCATTGTACCCATTCTTTCTGTACCCATATCGTGCGTGCCGAATCCCTCCCCTGAGCCTACCTACCCAGGGATACGATGTCGTGATTTTCTCGATACGGGGTCCCAGGACGTCTCGACCCATTCCCCAGGACCGGCTTCTCGTCCTGAGCCGCTTCCTGACGGCCCCGACGCCGGGCAAGGGCCCCTGGAAGCCGGAAATGGCGAAAGACCTCCGCCGTGATTTTCGTCAATACTTTGGATCTCTGGGTATCCGCCCCTCGGCGCTGCCCCTGACCCCCCCCCGCCCCCCGCCGCTCCGGGGAGTCCCGCGCCGCCGCGGCCCGCCAGCAGCTGCGAGACGGGGCCCGCCGGCGGCGCCGGTGCGGCGCCTCG